AAACCAGCTTAAGTCTGGGCTAGTACAAGCAGCCGCACATACACATACACACACATGCCGTCATATGAGCGAAATATTCTCAAGCACGACGTTAAACCCAATTTCACCTCGCCTCGCCTCGCCTCGCCTCGCCTCGCCTCGCCTCGCCTCACCTCACCTCACCTCACGCTAAAAATGATATGGACGAAATACTGCCGGGGTCTTCAACCCCCTGAACCCCCACCTTGGCTCCACCAATGCAAAACATTAACATCAAGGTGGTCTTTACTCATTTTCAAAAGTGGGGAAGGGGTGGTTCCGACCCCCCATCAACAGCAACCACACACCCCTCCCACCACACACACCCTCGGACCCGCCAATGGTGTGTATCACTTTATGCTGGCAGGGTGGGTCAATTCCCAAACTAATGAACTTATCACTGTGGTAAAGTCAACTGTTAGAGGTCGGTGGGGTAGCCTAGTGGTGAAAGCGTTCGCTCGTCACGCCGAAGACTCGGGTTCGATTTCCCACATGGGTACAATGTGTGAAGCAATATTCCAGCAACATCACGGCGGGGGACACCAGAAATGGGCTTCACACATTGTACCCAAAATTAATACATCCGCCCAGTACCAGGAGTTGAATCGCCAGATAACTGTAATCCAACGATACACGTCAAATATATTAAATTGTCTAAAATATACAGTTTTCCGCAACGAACAGACAAAACAAAAGAAAATCAAAACACAACCATTAGTGAAACCAATGCTCGTGGATGAGGATAAAGTGTGAGGTTTGTTTATTTGTTGTGAACGGAGCAGCGGTCGGTAAATAATCGAGTCTGGACCAGACAATCCAGTGATCAACATCATACGCCACGATGTACGCAACTGGGATACGATGACATGTCTCAACCAAGTCAGCGGGCCTGACCACCTGATACCGTTAGTTGCCTCATACAAGTGTGGGTTGCTGAAGATCATTTTCTTATCTGGATCTGCACGGATAAAAGCGTGAGAAGATCTTTACATAAACTTTTCACAATTATGGTTTTGACAACCTGCCCGTATTATTCTGGCCACTTCAAAAATTTTTTTTACAAAATCTACATTATGAAAATTTATGTTTGTATACATGTGATTAGGCCTGGGACATCCTTATCTACAAACCGGTTTGACAGCCATGCCACACACAAGTGATCTGATACATATCGCACCGCAAGACCTCCATTGTCAAGTATAGATTATCAAGATTGAACATTCCGTTACGTACCTGTAATTAGGCAATCAGTTATTCAGGTGATGTCAAAGTCTACAGGTATGCACGTATCTGCTTCATTCCTGATGTATGAGTTGGACACAGCCGGTATCTGATAGCAGGAGTTGCTCTCGTATACTATCCATGAGAAATACTTTGTTGAGGCGCATAAAGTCCACAAAGCTTCAACGCAGTACACCTGACGATAATGTATTATCAAATAAAGACGATTGTTTTTAAGAAATACAGTAGAACCCGTCTATTACGGACTTGCCTGGGACCGACTCATTTGTCCGGATCACACAGCATTGTTCTCATAGCAAGTTGATTTTCGGGACTGTTATTTTAGTCTGTAATCCGTAAATGAGGGAGTCCGTATTATAAAGCAGCTTTAATGATAAATTAAGAACAGACGATTGTTTTTAAGAAATACAGTAGAACCCGTCTATTACGGACTTGCCTGGGACCGACTCATTTGTCCGGACCACAAAGCATTGTTCCCATAGCAAGTTGAGTGTCGGGACTGTTATTTTAGTCTGTAATCCGTAATTGAGAGAGTCCGTATTATAAAGCAGCTTTAATGATAAATTAAGAACGATTTTGCCGGGACTGAGAGAGTGGTCCGGATTGTGGAGAAAACCGGATTACAAAGCGGATTTGACAGATTCCACTGTATATAAGAAAACATCATGTCTTATAGACGTAATCTTACAGATCTTCAGTTAGTTTCTCAGTCCCTGAAGCATATTATATTCCCTGCAGCCTATGAAGTTCGATGAAGCAAGTCTAGATTTCCTCAGGTTCAAGATCTCTGGTCTCCCTGGGGCTCTTTTTCAATTTAACTGGGTATATTTGCTGCAATTAAAATTATACATATTCAGAGACTAAGCGTTAGTCTAACCTTCAGTGTACAAAGGTTTTTTATTTCAATTAACTTGACAACGTTAATTCCTTCGTTAGAAGTGTCTTTGTTGTAAATAAGTGCCTTATCGGTATTTTTGTAATGATTTGAGGCAGTGGCATACACACATGGATATATTTGTGTACGTTAAGAATTGATAATCTTTAATCCATCTGTGATTGTGGCGCCGTTATTCATCAAACTATGTGTTTTCTTTTCACTTGGACATGTGAAGCCCATTTCTGGTGTCCCCCGCCGTGATATTGCTGGAATATTGCTAAAAGCGGCGTAAAACCATACTCACTCACTCACTTGGACATGACACTATAAAAGGCGTATTTCCCAAAGCGTTGGTGCAGCACGCACGATAAAAGAAACATTACTTCAGTCGCTCTGATTATCTGAAAACAACTAGAGCGACGTTTCTTACTTACACCTCTCTCCCAAAGCGCTGGTTGGGAGTGGGGAGAGGACTTTTCACCCTCAGCAACAACCCCCCATTCCCCCCAGCTAATGACACACCCTCAGTCATAAACCTGGACTAACGCTCAGTCTCTTAATACATAATATTGATGGTGACATATCATTCCATTTAAATAGAAAATGTGCCCCAGTGAGATGAGAGATTCAGAACCCGAGGAAATGTAGACTTGCTTCATTAATGGCTTCAGCATTATAGAAAGGGCTGGTCAGAAGGGGAAATAATGTGGTTCGGAGACCCGCTTACTCATACACCTCCAGCCACAACAATCATCTACATCCCTCAGCCTAGCCCGCATTGATCTGCACAACGCTAAAAATAGCAATGAGGCACAGTTGTTATTCTATTCAACGTATAGAATCATGTCTAGAAATACACTTGTACTAATAGAATCAGTTTACTGAAATGGGTCACTATATACATCCTTCACATTACTGTCGGTGCAAAATGCTAAATTCACATCATTTTACTAAACAGCTCTTTAACCGTGAATGGAACAGTACGAAGTGAACAGTTAACGGGTTTATGCTATTTATATTCCGAATAGTTCTGTGCTTGGTTACAGTAGTACTGTTGCTGACCTTTCTAGAAGTGACCTTCAGCTTCCCGTGGCATATGTGACCCGTTTATGTTAAATCCTGATATGTAAATAACCCGGAGATGCATGCGATGTGACATGTTTGAATAAACAAAATAAGTGACAAAAAGCTTCTAGAAATATGTGATCTATATCTGTCTCGACGTGTACTAAGGTTTCCAGTTTTATGTCGCATGTTGATATAATCTTTCTATCTCGAAGTGACATAAGGCTTTCAGAAGTACGTTGAATGTTTATAATAACCTCTTTATCTCGAGGTGACTCCAGGCTTCCAAATGAATAGGCAATGTTAACATAAAATCTTTCTATCTCGAAGTGACATAGAAGGCTTTCAGATGTATGTTGAATGTTTATAACAACCTCTCTATCTCGAGGTGACCCCAGGCTTCTAAATATATAGGCAATATTAACATAAAATCTTTCTATCTCGAAGTGACATAGAAGGCTTTCAGATGTATGTTAAATGGTTATATCAAGCTTTCTATCTCGAGGTGACCCTAGGCTTCCAAATGTATAGGCAATGTTTACATAAAACCTTTCTATCTCGAAGTGACATAGAAGGCTTTCAGATGTATGTTAAATGTTAAAATTTATATTAACCTCTCTATCTCGAGGTGACCCCAGGCTTCCAAATATATAGGCAATGTTAACATAAAATCTTTCTATCTCGAAGTGACATAGAAGGCTTTCAGATGTATGTTGAATGTTTATATCAACCTCTCTATCTCGAGGTGACCCCAGGCTTCCAAATATATAGGCAATGTCAACATAAAATCCTTCTATCGCGAAGTGACATAGAAGGCTTTCAGATGTATGTTAAATGTTTATATCAACCTCTCTATCACGAGGTGACCCTAGGCTTTCTATCGTGACATAGAAGGCTTTGATGTATGTTAAATGTTAATCAACCTCTCTATCACGAGGTGACCCTAGGCTTACAAATGTATAGGCAATGTTTACATAAAACCTTTCTATCTCGAAGTGACATAAGGCTTTCAGAAGTACGTTGAATGTTTATAATAACCTCTTTATCTCGAGGTGACCCCAGGCTTTCAAATGTATAGGCAATGTTTACATAAAACCTTTCTATCTCGAAGAGACATAGAAGGCTTTCAGATGTATGTTGAATGTTAAAATTTATATTAACCTCTCTATCTCGAGGTGATCCCAGGCTTCCAAATATATAGGCAATGTTAACATAAAATCTTTCTATCTCGAAGTGACATAGAAGGCTTTCAGATGTACGTTGAATGTTTATATTAACCTGTTTATCTCGATGTGACACATGTCATCGTATCCCAATTGCGTAGATCGATGCTCATGCTGTTGATCACTGGATTGTTTGGTCCAGATTCGAATATTTACAGACCGCCGGCATATAGCTGGAATTGTGCTGAGTGCGGCGTTAAACAACCAACCAACCAACTACCCAATCTAAACGCGTATGATATGTTTACACGAGTAATCTATGGCTTCATCAAACACGTGACCTGTTCATGTCTCTCTCTCTATATCAACTCAATTCGCATCCGATAATAGTAATCCGTACATTATCGTGGTCAGAATAATCACAATCTCCATCGTTTCGTCACTTCTATCCACGTAGGCCTTTTAAAAATCACACATTAATGAATGACACAGCAAACGTTATTCCCATCTTGACTAATATTTCTTAATTTATCTATCACTCATATCTCGTTACAGCGTACTACTCGAATTAAACGAGGGCATCAAAATTCAAACACACACGAGGTCCAAGCCGCCTGTAATCAAGGATGAGTCAGTACATCTTGTGTAGCCTGACGAATACAGGTAATAATATACCTGGCGTGGCCTAGACTGCGGCCTATAAAAAGCAGCGCTCGTTGTCGACAGGCTCAAACACACTCACTTGAGACACCTTATTGTCTACGTGAGGTACACCTGCTGATCGACTCACCTTTCACACGGCATTAACAGGACCTGTAGAAAATGGTAAGTCAATTACGCCTCAAAGACTTGAAACACAAACACGTCATTCAAATCTGTGTGCGCAATTCCACTTGAAAATCACTTAAAGATGGGTTTTACGATAATAATAGATCTATTTTTTGTCATATTATCAGTGAAAGAATGAATGTGATTTCGCACCATATTTAGCACTTTTGCTTCATATATTGGTGTCACATGTTGAACCAAAGCAGGGATCGAACTTGGTCCTTGTGCGAGACGACCGATGGGACTATCCACTATACCACCGTACATCACTCCAAAACCCACACCCGTGTATAATCCGGACCAGCATTGGAAGGGATCCATAGTGGAACTATAGTGACGTCACTGTCACATCATCAATACAGTCATGAGTCTTATAATCGAAGTTGCTTAATACCAAATTTTGATATGTATAAAAATATTGTTTTCTCAAAATCGGCCGTCATGTTGTCCGAAACTAGAAGTGGGCGATCGGTCAATGAAACCTGACAATGAAATCAAGCAATGCCACTACTCCATTGCTGCCCGACGTATTTTGTAACGGAATAGACCCAGCGGACCTGAATGGACTGTAGAGAGGACATCTGTTTAAACACACATTATCATAAGGATAATATGAGTCAGAGGTCAAAGGTTATCATCACTGACTGACGTACCGTAGATACATGCTTTAACAAGCCTGTTATCTTGATTTCACGTCGCGTTGCTTAGGGTTTGTTTGAAGGTTGTCCATGTATAATCGAGTCTGGGCCTGACAATCAAGTGATTGATATTCTGAGCAACGATTCATCACACTATCAACCATGCCACACATTTAGTGACAAGAGTCATAGGTTTTAGGCAACCATATCTATGTATAAAACATTGAAAAAAAAGCATTATAGAGATTAACGATCCTTGTATGAATGTATGAATGGACCTAGTTCGAACTCTAACCGCGCCAAACCATGGACATGAAATGAAGCTATTTGTTGCTACTCTTCCTGTGCTTTGTATAGAGGGAACAAGGCAAGGACTATTGTATGAGTATTCGGAAGTGCAAGTGTATCAAGAGGGAACCAACCGCACTCACCCGGCAGACCCGAGTTCCCTAAATTTGTGAATCGTTGCTCATTCCATCAACCACTGGTTTAATTGTCCACACTTGAGGACATCTCACTATCACGTCAATACTGATGACAGGGGATTTAGACAGTCTCTCACTCACTTACACACACACACACTGACTGACTGACACACATACTGACTCACTCACTCACTCACTCACTCACAGGTCATAAAACATGTCCTCTATGTCTATTTACCTAAGGTGTACGTGTCTGTGTTGAAATTTTATGTTCTTTGCTACCAGAGAGAAGTCATCAGTATCCACATCGGCCAGGCCGGGGTTCAGATCGGCAACGCGTGCTGGGAACTGTACTGCCTGGAGCATGGCATTCAGAAGGACGGCCAGATGCCCTCAGACGTGTCCGCAGCGGGAAGAGATTCCTCCTTCAACACCTTCTTCAGCGAGACAGGGGCTGGTAAACATGTGCCTAGGACCGTCTTTGTTGACCTTGAGCCAACAGTTATTGGTAAGAATACCTTTAACAAATTAGAACGTTTCCATTTTCTCAATAATGATTCTTTTTCGACTGTTTAGTTTCCAAGTATTTACTTGTTGCTATCAGATACTGAAAACAGAGACAACACTCCAATAGGGTATAATATAATATAGAACTGACTATATCTCGACACTCTGAAAGATCAACATGTAGCTCAGCAGCGGATCGGGTGTACGAAATCGTATTGTACATTAACTTAACATACTGAGAGAGTTAATACTGGGTTGGACTCCTTAAATATTATGTTTGAATAGGAGCATCGCTTCCCAAAAGATGACCAAAGGCAAGAGCAACACCTCTAAGTAGAGGATCAATGTTTGTGAATTCGAATCATTTGAATGACTCCCTGGGACTCTTCGAAACAGTCTTAATATGGGCAAATTTCATTTGTTATCTTCCAGACGAAATCCGAACTGGCCCGTATCGCCAGCTTTTCCACCCAGAACAGCTGATCACGGGCAAGGAGGACGCTGCCAACAACTACGCCCGAGGCCACTACACCATCGGCAAAGAGATTATCGACGGTGTGATGGACAGAATTGGGAAGCTGACTGACCAGTGTGATGGACTTCAGGGTTTCCTCATCTTCCACAGCTTCGGTGGCGGAACTGGCTCCGGATTCACCTCTCTCATGATGGAGAGACTGTCCTTTGACTACGGCAAGAAGTCCAAGCTTGAGTTCTCCGTGTATCCGGCTCCCCAGGTGTCTACGTCTGTGGTCGAACCCTACAACTCCGTGCTGACCACACACACCACTCTGGAACACTCGGACTGTTCCTTCCTTGTCGACAACGAGGCCATCTATGACATCTGTAGACGTAACCTCGACATTGATTATCCTACCTACACCAACCTCAATCGTCTGATCAGCCAGATCGTTAGTTCCATCACGGCCTCTCTTCGATTTGACGGCTGTTTGAACGTGGATCTTAACGAGTTCCAGACCAACTTAGTCCCTTATCCACGTATTCACTTCCCACTCAGCACCTACGCTCCGATTGTCTCAGCAGAGAAGGCTTTCAGAGAGTCGATGACAGTTTCTGAAATTTCAACGGCCTGTTTCGAGCCCGCCAACCAGATGGTGAAGTGCGACCCTCGTCAAGGCAAGTACATGGCCTGTTGTATGCTGTTCCGTGGTGATGTCGTCCCAAAAGATGTCAGCGCAGCCATTGCCAACATCAGGACCAAGAGAAGTATCCAGTTCGTGGACTGGTGTCCCACAGGGTTCAAGGTCGGCATCAACTACCAACCACCAACAATTGTTCCTGGGGACGACCTGGCCAAGGTCCAAAGAGCTGTCTGTATGTTGAGCAACACCACCGCCATCGCTGACGCCTGGGCTCGTCTCGATCACAAGTTTGATTTGATGTACGCCAAAAGAGCGTTCGTCCATTGGTATGTTGGGGAGGGTATGGAGGAAGGGGAATTCGCTGAAGCTCGGGAGGATCTGGCAGCGTTGGAAAAGGACTATGAAGAGGTAGGGGCGGACACCGTAGAGACGACGGGGGAAGACTATGACCAATCCGAGTTCTGAGACTCTGAAAGGATCATGTGCAATACCAATCATACAATCAATTAAACAAATATTGCGAACTGTTGCGCTTAGAAGTGGGAGACATTCATACATTTCATATTTCATCTTTTTATGTGATATTCGGATGCAGTCTGCAGGGTCCCTTTTCTCATGGAACGAGACACAGCAGAATCTGTGTTAAAGGGATGGTGTAGTTGATGGGGTCATGTGCGATAAGGTACCAATATCATTTTTGCAATCCTGGTCAAGGAAATGTAGTATTTGTGGCACGGATGGCCAAGTCATCTAAGGCTCTGTAGGTTGAACCCTTTATGTATAATACATACATACAATCGTAGGTTGAATCTCATTTTGTCCCGGCGGTGGGGTACCCCGATGGTTAAAGCGTTCGCTCGTCACGCTAAAGACGCAGGTTCGTTTCCCCACATAAGTACAATGTGTGAAGCCCATTTCTGATGTCATCTGCCGTGATATTGCTGGTATTGTGTTAAAAGCGGCGTAAACCCATACTCACTCACTCACTCTTTTGTCCCATGGTCATATTTCTTGGTTTGTCACCACCAAAACCATGCTCGTAAGTTTAACCAAAGGTGAAACGTCTGCGTCTTGCATCACTTTAGACCTTTCCTCCCACAACAAGCTGGGGCGGTGAGGTAGCCTAGTGGTTAAGGCGTTCGCTCGTCACGCGGAAGACCTGGGTTCGATTCCCCACATGGGTACATTGTGTGAAGCCCATTTCTGGTGTCCCCCGCCATGACATTGCTGGAGTATTGCAAACGCGGCATAAAAGTAAACTCACTCACATCAAGCTAACAATCCATGTTAAGATACCACATTCTCCTACTCTAAGAGGCATATCGAACTGAGACATTGTCACCGTGTCAGTTCGGTAATCGCTGAACAAATACTATGAGTTCTCAATGACATGCCAAACTACGGCCAGTTGACCCGAGCATGGACCCCTTTAAGCACTATACTTATTGCTAAAAAACTAAATATGTTCATTTGACTTCTTAGCTTCAAACTTCTACAAATAAAGTATGTACTGCACTAAAAGAATGTGAGTTCTATTATTATATGTAACGTTTGAAGATAGACTAAATGAAGTCGCGCAAGATAAGGGTTTAGTAAAGTTTGCCGTAAACGTACATTGCAACAGTGCATGTTTAAACACGCACGAACGCACACACACACACACACACACACACACACACACACACACACACACACACACACACACACACACACACACACACACACACACACACACACACACACACACACACACACACACACACACACACACACACACACACACACACACACACACACACACACACACACACACACACACACACACATACATACATACATACATACAAGTGGCCCTGACCACGGACAAGTCCTGATAGTGACCTCATGTGATGATATACTTCATACGCCTGAGGATATAACCTGAAAAATATTTCCATTGTCCGTTGCTGCACAGACCGCCTCCGTGGTGTAGTGGTTAGAGCGTCCGCCCGGGGAGCGGAAGGTCGCGGGTTTGATCCCCGACCGCCTCATACCAAAAAGACGTTAAACTATGGTACTTGTTGGTCCCTGCCTGGCGCTCGGCATTAATGTGTCTGAGTGGGGTATTCATGCTTCACTGCGGCATGGTATCTCAGTGGGCTAGCACTATGAAACCAGCTTAAGTCTGGGCTAGTACAAGCAGCCGCACATACACATACACACGCATGCACGTCGTCATATGAGCGAAATATTCTCAAGCACGACGTTAAACCCAATTTCACCTCACCTCACCGTTGCTGCACATGCAACAAGTATCGTTGGTGCACATGCAATGCACACAATACCGTCGGTGCACAAGCAATGCACGCAATACAGTTGGTGCACAAGCAATACACACAATACCGTTGGTGCACATGCAATACACACAATACCGTTGGTGCACAAGCAATGAACACAATACCGTCGGTGCACATGCAATGCACACAATACCGTTGGTGCACATGCAATACACACAATACCGTTGGTGCACAAGCAATGCACACAATACCGTTGGTGCACATGCAATGTGCACAAGCAATACACACAATACCGTTGGTGCACATGCAATACACACAATACCGTTGGTGCACAAGCAATGCACACAATACCGTCGGTGCACATGCAATGCACACAATACCGTTGGTGCACATGCAATACACACAATACCGTTGGTGCACATGCAATACACACAATACCGTTGGTGCACATACAATGCACACAATACCGTTGGTGCACATACAATACACACAATACCGTTGTTGGTGCACATACAATACACACAATACCGTTGGTGCACATACAATACACACAAAACCGTTGGTGCACATGCAATGCAATAAAACCGTTGGTGCACATGCAATACATACCGTTGGTGCACATGCAATACACACAATGCCCGTTGGTGCACATGCAATACACACAATACCGTTGGTGCACATGCAATACACACAATGCCGTTGGTGCACAATACACACAATACCGTTGGTGCACATACAATACACACAATGCCGTTGGTGCACATGCAATACACACAATACCGTTGGTGCACATGCAATACACACAATACCGTTGGTGCACATACAATACACACAATGCCGTTGGTGCACATACAATGCACACAAAACCGTTGGTGCACATACAATACACACAATACCGTTGGTGCACATACAATACACACAATACCGTTGGTGCACATGCAATACACACAATACCGTTGGTGCACATACCGTTGGTGCACATGCAATACACACAATGCCGTTGGTGCACATGCAATACACACAATGCCGTTGGTGCACATGCAATACACACAATACCGTTGGTGCACATGCAATACACACAATGCCGTTGGTGCACAAGCAATGAACACAATACCGTTGGTGCACATGCAATACACACAATACCGTTGGTGCACATGCAATACACACAATACCGTTGGTGCACATGCAATGCACACAATACCGTTGGTGCACATGCAATACACACAATACCGTTGGTGCACAAACAATACACACAATGCCGTTGATGCACATACAATACACACAATGGCGTTGGTGCACATGCAATACACACAATACCGTTGGTGCACATACAATACACACAATACCGTTGGTGCACATGCAATACACACAATGCCGTTGGTGCACATACAATACACACAATACCGTTGGTGCACATGCAATACACACAATACCGTTGGTGCACATGCAATACACACAATGCCGTTGGTGCACATGCAATACACACAATGCCGTTGGTGCACATGCAATACACACTATGCCGTTGGTGCACATGCAATGCACACAATACCGTTGGTGCACATGCAATACACACAATATCGCTGCTGCACAATTTATGCACGTGTTATGGGACATCTTATACACAGACTAAAAATTCATTTGGACTATAATCCTCTTTCATAACCGCATGTAGGTTGTTCGTCCAAACCCCTCTATCCCAAGTGCTTGTGACCTGTTCACATAAACCCATCTATCCCAACCGCATGCGGGTTGTTCGTCTAAACCCATCTATCCCAACTGCATGCGCGTTGTTCGTCTAAACCCATCTATCCTAACTGCATGTAGTCTGTTCGTCTAAACCCCTCTATCCCAACTGCATGCGGGTTGTTCGTCTAAACCCATCTATCCCAACTGCATGTAGTCTGTTCGTCTAAACCCCTCTATCCCAACTGCATGCGCGTTGTTCGTATAAATGTGGTGGCCAAAAAGACTGAATCCAGACTGGGATTCAAGCCACGGACCTTCTAGATCTGATCCAAAATCGGACGCCTTATACAGTACAACCAGAAATTATTGAGAATTTAAAGATTTTATTTTTTATTTTTTTCACTCATTACTCACGTATTAAATGTGAATATTAGCAGAACAGTATTTTGTCAAGTCACCATGGGCAGCAATGCAGCCTTTAATGCGGCGGGGGCATACTACTGATCAAAGAAGTTAGAAAGTTGTGGTCCATGCTGTCCCAATATCGGACCACCTCTTCTTTCATTTCAGCAATATTTGTCAGATTTTTCTTATTGACACTTTCCTTCATAAGTCCCCAAACATTTTATAGTGGATTTAGGTCAGGGCTATAGCTTGGCCAATCCAATAATGTCATATTTTGGGTCCGAAACCAGGCCTGTGAATGCTTTGAACGATGTTTTGGGTCGTTGTCCTGCTGGAAAATCCAAACATTTCCATAGAACACGTGAGCAGATGGAAGTAAATGTCCCTCGAGAATATCTGTGTACCGCTCATTGTTCATATTCCCTTCAAATACACAGAGGGGCGCTGCCCCTAACACAGATATGCCACCCCAAATGTTAAATTTCGGACTGTACTTTGGGCGCTGATACAAAGGTTTTTCAGTTTGTTTGGTCCAGAATTTCAGTGTATTAGGAAACAGCCACACAGAACTTTCATCTGAGAAAATCACATTGTCCCAGTTAAAATGTCTATGCTGTAAGCACCAGTTCAACCTTCGCTCCTTTTGTTCAGGTTTCATGATCGGTGATGGAATTCCTCGACTTTTCTGCCAACCCATTGCATGCAGCTCAGTTCTAATTGTCTCCTTACAGACAGCCACAGTTCCTCTATCAATCATATCCAGCCTTATTACGATACTCTTAACCTATTTCACAAATATTTCTTATTATATACACTACTCATATCACGTAAAAGCATCTTCCCTTAAATTTTATACAGATGTTTGAGATTCCAGTTTACATGTGATCTGTTATCACGGATGAGTCAGTACACCTAGCTGATGCAGCAGGTATGATAACTACAGGTAAGAGTATACTAACCAATCACACCTGGCGAGTCCGAGATAGCGTCCTATAAGAAGCACAGCACGTGGTCAGCAGGTTCAAAGTCGCTCACATAAGACACCTTATTGTCTCCGTGAGTTACACCTGCCAACTGACTTGCCGGTATATTCTCTGTGTCTGACGGTATTTCCAGGAACCAAGAAAATGGTAAGTCAGAGAAGTATTTATGACTTGACACATAAAAATACTATCCCTAAAACCATCTTAAACATCCAGTGCCACGTTATGTTCGGCAATCCCAATCTTTGATTTGTTCCTCGATCATAATATATATATACACAAATGTATATATCTACTTATGATACATTGTACTGATAAAACTTTGGTGTGGCAATATGTAACAGTATGGACTTTCTCATACTGTGTGCTATGTTGGAATCAACTTCAGTCTTTGTTTGTGGCGATCGGAATCGCTAACCACTATGACAGCAACCGCCCCTTGGATGGTCTAGGAGCGGTGGGGTAGCCTAGTGTAAAAGCGTTCGCTCGTCACGCCGAAGACCCGTGTTCGATTCCTCACATGGGTATTATCATGGTTATAATGTGTGAAACTAATTTCTGGCGTCCCCATCTGTTTTATTGCTGGAATAATGCTAACAGCGGCGTAAAATCACACTGACGGTTTGGCTATCAAAATGCTATGGGAACAATATTATCATTTTTGTGAATATATGTTTTCGTTCGTTTACATTTTGTATCACATCTGGATATAACTTTTCGGAAGTAACACACACACAGTTTGAATCGCAGTGGTCTGTTTCACATGTGTTTGTTCGGTACACCTGTCATATCTCGACATTTTATCACTCGGATAATGAGATTCAAAGGTCAAGGTTTATCATATATAACCCTTCACGCCACTTTGACCTTCGGTACATTTTACAGTATAACTAATATAATATATATTGATTGAATGCCTGCCTTGAAACTTGTCGGAAAACACACCCGGTCTGTCTTTAGTTTTCAAAATATTACACACTTTGACAAAAACAAAAAACAAAATGGCGACATGTGTACCCCGTCGTCTAAGGCACCGCGATTCGCTGTGCAGAGTTGCATCCCTTGGGTACGCCAGAAACCAATGATTTAAGTTCGAATCGCCCGATGTTTTCTTGTTTTATCGCCACCATTCCGTGGCTTTCACCAAGTGGTAAACGTCTGAAACCTACATTGGCCTTTCATTTTCACAACCGGTTTACATGTTCATATAAATAACTGAAATAGCGGTCTAAAGCTCCCTATCTTTGTTTAGTTGTCGCGTCAAATAATGAATACAGGATACGATAACGTATATGGAATAATAATATTGTCACACATAATAAAAACATATAATCAACTTTAGAAAAGATGGGGTTTGTTTTGTGCTCAAGTCTATCCCTAACTACACTGTTGTGTTTAATTATAACAAACTGACTTCTATTGCCATTTTGCCAAACTATACGATAAATCTAATAAAACAGCACCTTTGAGTTCAATGATTTTAAAACATTTTTACTGTATGGTCTTTCAAAAGATGAACTACACGAGCGATGATTAAGGTGAGTGAGTAAGTTTAGTTTTACGCCACACTCAACAATATTCCAGCTATATAGCGGCGATCTGTAAATAATCCAGTCTGGATCAGACAATCCAGTGATCAACAGCATGAGCATCGATTTGCTCAAATGGGCACCGATGACATGTGTCAACTAGGTCAGCGAGCCTGATCACCTGGTACCCTTAGTCGCCTCTTATGACAAGGATGGGTTACTGAAGATCAATATTTTAACCGGACCTTCCTAATCAGCAGAAGGCGGCGATCTGTAAATAATCCAGTCTGGATCAGACAATCCAGTGATCAACAGCATGAGCATCGATTTGCTCAAATGGGAACCGATGACATGTGTCAACTAGGTCAGCGAGCCTGATCACCTGGGACCCTTAGTCGCCTCATGACAAGGATCAACTGAAGTCAATATTTTAACCGAGCTTCCTACAGCCCGGTCCCGTTAGTCACCTCTTCACGACAAGCATGGGTTTCTGAAGATCAATTCCAACCAGGATCTTCACGGGTCCGTTGCTTAAGGGATTTATGGTACACGAAAGTAGTTGTAAATAGAATGTTATCCGTATTGTTTGAATATGCCGGCTGAATAAAAAAAACCGGTATACATCAGCTCTGAGTATGTACATGTAACACAAGATCGCGGTATGTACATACCCCAAATCTGAAATATATAACACAGCGCCTAGAGAATGTTCTCACCCGGATATGCTGAAGCATACTTCATAACGCTGTGCAAGTTAACTGAACATTTTTGTCATTAAATATTACTTAATGAATTGATACGGATTTTTTATAAAGTTGAACACAGAGCACTACCGATACTGGGTGGCATGGGGTAGCCTGGTAGTTAAAGCGTCCGTTCGTCACGCTGAAGACCCGGGTTCGATTCCCCCATTTCTGGTGTCCCCCGCCGTGATATTGCTGGAATATTGCTAAAAGCGGCGTAAAACCATACTCACTCACTACCGATGCTGGTACGATGTAGAAACTCCAACTTTAGTGACAGAGTGACGTCCCTTAATAGAGCCAGTATCGGATGATTCTGGTTTCGAATATAAGAATCTCTGATTATGTTTTCACAAGAGCGGTAAATAAGTCTTCAACAAATATTTGACTGACTTGCGATATTATGTGGACAGGCAAGGACAAACATGAAATAGTGTTCTATCCGTTTAAATCCAACTTGACCACAGAGATGTAAAGTACATTAGATATTTGGAAGGGCGTCACTCTCTGCTTTTACGTGGCTGACAGATAACAAGTTATCGTGCCCTGACCATGAGAATTGTCGATCGCATCAGCAGCATTTTGTTCTTTGAGTTAGGCTTTATTTCGATTGCAGCCACGTAAACTTTGAGCAAATTCCATTCCATGATGCAGAAATGTTTCATCGGTTTTATTGTTTATTCCGCTTCGCCTAAATGCGTACTATTACCCTGATGTTGTGAATCCCGATCACGCTATGAACCAGTGTCTTAACTGTCCAAGCTTGATGATTGTACAAAGTCAGTCAACATAGTGCAACTAATGCTCCCTCACAGCTAATAACACGTTTTGTCTATGTCCATTCAGTTTCTAGAGTTTACTTTTACATCTTACGTTCCTCATTCACAGAGGGAAGTGATCAGTGTCCACATCGGTCAGGCCGGTGTCCAGATTGGCAACTCCTGCTGGGAACTGTACTGTCTCGAGCATGGCATTCAGAAGGACGGTCGGATGCCCTCGGACAAGTCCATTGGGGGCGGGGATGACTCCTTCAACACTTTCTTCAGCGAGACAGGGTCAGGGAAGCACGTCCCTAGGGCCGTGTTTATTGACCTTGAGCCATCAGTTATTGGTAAGAACAAAACAGCGAACTCCATTACCTCGTCGTATGGTTCAACCAGTTGCAGTTTGGTCCCCGAAAATCGTTATCAGCAATATGGTTTAAATAGTGGCATGTAGCCGATGGCGCACATCGCTTCGAGTGTCCGAAATCTGACATCCTGAAATAGCTTATACTGTAGCAGAGAAGAATCTCTCCTGGTATTAAAGCAAAATCCCTTTCTTAGATGTTGTCTTTAAAATGCATTTGAATAGAAGCATCGCTTCCCAAAGATAAACAAAGACAAAGGAAACATCACTGAGAGACAAAGAAGTAACGCAGCAATATTTGAGGACTGAAAGTGCTTAGAGAAAACCAGAGGTCTCTTTGAACAAACCTAATAATGACAATGTTCCTTTATTATCTTCCAGACGAAATCCGAACTGGCCCGTATCGCCAGCTTTTCCACCCAGAACAGCTGATCACGGGTAAGGAGGACGCTGCCAACAACTACGCCCGAGGCCACTACACCATCGGCAAGGAGATCGTCGACGGTGTGATGGACAGAATTGGGAAGCTGGCCGACCAATGCAATGGACTTCAGGGTTTCCTCATCTTCCACAGCTTCGGTGGCGGAACTGGCTCCGGGTTCACCTCTCTCTTGATGGAGAGACTCTCCGTTGACTACGGCAAGAAGTCCAAGCTTGAGTTCTCCGTGTATCCGGCTCCCCAGGTGTCTACGTCTGTGGTCGAACCCTACAACTCCGTGCTGACCACACACAACACACTTGAGCACTCTGACTGCTCCTTCTTGGTTGACAACGAGGCCATCTATGACATCTGTAGACGTAACCTCGACATTGATTATCCTTCCTACACAAACCTCAATCGTCTGATCAGCCAGATCGTTAGTTCAATTACGGCCTCTCTTCGATTTGACGGCTGTTTGAACGTGGATCTTAACGAGTTCCAGACCAACTTAGTCCCTTATCCACGCATTCACTTCCCACTCAGCACCTATGCCCCGATTGTCTCAGCGGAGAAGGCTTTCAGAGAGTCAATGACAGTTTCTGAAATCACAACTGCCTGTTTCGAGCCCGTCAACCAGATGGTGAAGTGCGATCCTCGTCAAGGAAAGTACATGGCCTGTTGTATGCTGTACCGAGGTGATGTCGTTCCAAAAGATGTAACCGCAGCCATTGCTAATATCAAGACCAAGAGAAGTATCCAGTTCGTGGACTGGTGTCCCACAGGGTTCAAGGTCGGCATCAACTACCAGCCTCCAACAATTGTTCCTGGGGACGACCTGGCCAAGGTACAAAGAGCTGTCTGTATGTTGAGTAACACCACCGCCATCGCCGAGGCCTGGGCTCGTCTCGATCACAAGTTTGATTTGATGTACTCCAGAAGGGCTTTCGTTCACTGGTATGTTGGGGAGGGTATGGAGGAAGGGGAATTCGCTGAAGCGCGGGAGGATCTGGCAGCGTTGGAAAAGGACTATGAGGAAGTGGGGGCGGACAACGCCGATACGATGGGGGACGACTACGACCAGTCCGAGTACTGAGACGGACATGTGCAATATCAATCACGCGTTGTCAAAAATACATGATAGTGTATTATAGGCAGGGAGTTGACAAGTTATGCCATTCACAACAACAAAATGCAACTGTCAACTATGACTGTTGATATAGTCACGTGTTAGTATTGGAGACTCAAGCACATCCAGCTCCCATCCAGATCATGCATGTAGTGCCATGTGGAGTGAACATTTACCGATTACTGAATTATTGAATTGATGCTTTGGGAAAAGTAGTGTTTTATCTGTTTTCAAAAATTGGGATTACAGTGTATCTGGACCCTAGTGGTCATTTACAGCGTTGATCGATTCCCAGATGTGTGGAATCCTTTCCTGGTGTACCCTGTCGTGACATCCCTGAGTAGTTAGCAGTTGTTATCGCTGCAACTGTCTAAAATTACATTGAAACTGGATTTAGACTTATTGGGCTTAAGTTAGTTGACGCCCAGTTTCAAAAGTTAACCAATTGATGATTTCGAGTTTTGTTAAAAAGGCAAGAAATGTAAATTCTCGAGACATAGGTGGCGCATTTGGCTCATTGAGAAATCCCGTTGCCTTTAGGATGACGTAACTTTATGGTCAATGTATTTCCTTTTTCTTAAAATCACGAGTTACACGCACATTATCTGTCTCCTTATAATAACGCCAGTTAGACGTGGTCGCCAGCTTTCCGTGCCCTGATGAAACAAGAAAGTTGGGTTGGTAAACATCATTTCATGGAAACATTTATATGTTCATGCAAAGTCCAAAGTTACATTTGAGACACGAGTGGTTCTGTCCACAGGGGCGTGTCACGCTTAGAAACAGCGTTAGAAAGAAATATAGGTATATAGACCCTACCCTAGTACTATCCTTTTATATAGTACTAAGGTAGGGTCTATATACCTATATGTCTTTCTAACGCTGTTTCTAGTATTAGGGTAGGGTCTATATACCTATATGTCTTTCTAACGCTGTTTCCAAGCGTGACACGCCCCTGTGGTTCTGTCGTCACAGGCACCACATTTCGCTGTGCAGAGTTGCGTCCCTTAGAAGCGCAAGGGTTTGGTCAATGTGCACTGAATTCCAAAATCGACCGGATTGTAATCCTTCATGCGTCAGCACCATGCCCCGTGTCATGGGCGTGCCCTTTTCTTCCTGTTACAAATGAAATACTCCCCAAAGCAGCGTTAATTCAAACTCACTTAGTCTCACGCAAAAGTATTTTAACGGCATACCATACGTTTATACATAGGGATATACATGTTTTCTTATAACAATTAAAACCAATGCTTACAAAAGGAATATGTTCAATGGAGTTTTGACTGAAACTCTTTAATTTAGCTGCAGATGCTGTAGTTTCTGTAATATATCGAACCAAGCATCACAGACATGGCTTTGATTGGCCCAATGTTCTTGTATTACTTACATTATTACGTAGACATATTTAAACTATATATCTTTAAGAATGATTGAGAATTTGTGTGAATTTGAGATAAATGGTACGAATTCTGAATAAATGAGAAAACTCAGAACACGCGATGTTCAAGCAGGGCTCCAGATAATTTTTCAACATCAGGAGTAGGTACTCCTTATTTGTTCAATATTGAGTACTGGAAAACCTTAAGTGTACATTTAGAGTACTGAATGGAAGCTAATGGACTATCAGTAATCTTGTGTTTCGTTTCATATATGCACCACAACATTGCTACTCTTGTGTAAACAGGTCAATAAACAATAAAACAATACTTTTTTCAGATAAATACGTCTGTAAATGATTCTAAGACCGTACACCATTGCTGTGGTGCGTATCTGCTACATTTTCTAAATTATTTCCTACTGTATCGTGCATATTTTTATCCGTACATACGCCGATACGGCCCTTATCTGGAGCCCTGTTCAATCTTACGAGATTTTAACACTGATTACATTTTTAGTCTTCGTGTGAATCCGATTAAATTTGAGAAGATCGAACATTATTTTTATTAAACGTGATAAGCATTCTTTCAAAACCGGACATATATCTATGAACATATGTGTATTGAAATGATGGTTTTGAAGATTAAATTTCTCAATAAATCAAGTTGATATATTATAGGTTTGTGTTGAATGTTTCAATCTCGATAAGATCAATCCCGGTTATACTTGCCTGCCCTGGACATCCCACACCTTATTCTGCTAATACACCACCTCCATCCCACCCCAGAGTAACGATGGCTTTGTCTTCTAATATTCCACGTTATCCGAGATAATCGGCAGTATGTTGGCCGAATGTTATTCTGGGTGGCCTTTTGAACCAACTCGGTGGTCAGTTGGCCAGAAAAGAATCTACACTCGAATCACTAGACTAACTGCTTAGTCTCTGAATATATATAATTTTGATAGTAACAAGCAAACCCATATAAATTGAAAAGGTGACCCAGGAAGACCAGAGATTCAGAACCTGAGGAAATGTAGACTTGCTTTATTAAGGTCTTTAGCGTTGCAGAAAGGGCTTGGCAGTAGGGGAAATAATGTGGTTCAGGGACTGTGAGGAATCACTGAGGTCTCCTAATCGTTTAGTTTACACCGACGACCCTGGTCTTTTTATGTATCATGCATAGAGACAGGAATTCATATGATCCTTCTCATGTGTAGAGGGAATGGGTAGCTTAAAGAGTTCATGATTTATGTGCACGATTTCTCACAAGATTTTCCTTTGGCTTACTGTACTTAACCCAGCTCTGAAGAAAACATTTGCTCGCATTTCGTTAAACTTGTTTATGTGTCTAAGCTGCCAAAAGCATATTTAATCAAACAAATTCATATTTTAAATGCATGATTTCATTTTGTATACGCACAGATTATTTTATTCATTGATTCAGCTAATTGAAAATGCCTAATATTCCACTCGTGAATGAAACGTTTGTTTACGGAAGACATTTGCAATCATCACCCATTCGTGTGCCCACAAAATGTGACGTTACCTTGTTTCGTGGATTACGTAGTCGGTTACTTCATACCACTATGTACGACATCCCACTGCAGTAAGTATTGACACCAAGGAAAGCAGACGAGAAGTGAGAAGGTTGGAGCTAACGGTATCTTTTTTACTTGACATTTTGTAAAAATAAAATGTGGGAATGGTGGTATTGATGATCTGGGGCTATTTATCTCTATGCTGGACAATTATATTTAGTGTACTTGCGTGTAATGCAGAGATTCGGAACTTTTTTGTCAGCGAGGCGTGGCATTGTATGTACCGAATTTCCTCTAGTAAGCGCCCTCGGCGCTTATTTTTCAACAGACCTCCAGACCCGCGCTTATTAGAGGCCCTGCGCTTATTAGAGGCCCGGTGCTTATTAAAATACCCTGTATTTTTAAAAGCGGGGATGAGTACATGAAGTTATGATTTAAGGGACCATTCCTTAGTATATTTATTTTTAGACCAAGGGGGAATACATTTGCGAAAAAATGCAAAGGTCTATACCAGGCGCTTATTGGAGGCCCGGCGCTTAATAGAGGAAATACGGTACATGAAAAGTACCGCTTCGTGACGTCATACGAGACATAATCTACGAGATAGGATGATAATGTCCGCGATCCACGAATCAAGGTTATCCACGAATTTAGGTTACGGTACCCTTTTGGGGTGAAGGAGGTAATTAGTTCTCCTCAGACAATCATGGCAACGGGAACATGCAGCAATTACCTTGACAAGATCACCCTGAGCACAGAAATCGTTTCCCCTTCAAATGCAACCTGAAATTAATTAAATGAACCCCATAAATCTGCTGATATTCTCAACTGGACTGCGTTTCGTCGTTAGCTGTCGTCCATTTCCTAATGGGAGGTAACTCTTGATTGTAATAACAAGGACAGGTAACTCTAAATGAAACTAAAGGTTCAAAAGTACCAACAGGACTCAAGTTCTTTATAATCATAATACGTCTCAAAAAGGTAAATATCGTGTTTGTGTTTTACCAATGTGAGATCAGTCGAGAGCAGGTCAATAATTGTGGCACGTGGAAATATTGTCATTTGTGGTTCCAAGTAATAGATTATATGCATTCAGAAACAAAGCAATGGATACATAATTGATGATAATTATAGAGTTTTATGTGACACAGATATGTGCTCCCAGTAGGCAAAAATGTAAAGAAATGGACTTAGAGTAAAAATATATTGTACAAATTCAAGACAAAAAAAAGTTCCTGTTATTATAATGTGATCATCAAAGCTTGTATTGCAATACACTACACCATTTCATTACATGCAGGACCCACAGGTTACCTATATGGATCCTTGATATTAGTAATGGGCCCTCTTAACCCCTACTGCAGGGCTCCAGATAATTTTTCAACATCAGGAGTACGTACTGCTTATTTTTTCAATATAGGAGTAGGCCTACTGGAAAACCTTAAGAGTACATTTTGAGTACTGAATGGAATTTAATGGCGGATCAGTAATCTTGTGTTTCGTTTTATATATGCACCACAACATAGCTACTCTTGTGTAAAAAGGTCAATAAACAATAAAACAATATTTTTTCAGATAAATACGTCTGTAAATGATTCTATGACCGTGCAGCATTGCTGTGGTGCGTATCTGTTACGTTTTCTAAATTATTTCCTACCGTATTGTGCATATTTTATATCCGTACATACACCGATACGGCCCTTATCTGGAGCCCTGCCTACTGTATAGTTTTGTAGGTCAAGGTTACAGTGTTATTTGTTTCATGGATAACTGTATCAGTCAAGCTTAGGATTGAGTAAGAAAGGCAAGGAAACCCCAAATTGATTCATATCTAAACATTTCATTTTTGGTGAAATCCACCAGCAAAGGCATGACAAACCAAAAAATATAATTGTAGACCAGGATTCGAACCCTGAATCTTTGGTTTCATACTCAAGTGACACAACTGTGCACAGCAAATGGCAGCATCTTAGATGTCCATCACTGATTGCTCACTATTTCTGGCCCACTGGGGTGGAAGTATTCCAGGTGAGTTAGCTATAACCCTGCAGTTAATATTTCTGATCAAATGTTGAGAACTCACACATACCAAAACTGATAGTCGATGCTGAACAAGTTAACATAACTACTTTTGAAGGGAAACAAATTTCTGCTCCGAATCTCACATATGTTCATGTGGTTACGAACAACACAATTCTCAGGTGAAAAACGTTTTTATATCAATGTAGGTAAATATGTGTATGTATATATATATTCTCATACATCCTTGTAAGTTAGTTGTTTATTCAACACTTATCACATTGCACATACAGATAGTGACAAGTGAACACATTGCATAGACAGTAAACACATTGCAGAAAAGATAAAAAACAATAAACAGCTGAAATACTGTGCAGCATTACTTATGATATACTCTAAAAAAGTAGGGAACTTCATTTTTATTTAACGATTAAAAAAATTGGGAGATCTGATATATCGGAGTCAATCAGTGTTCATATGATAATAATGAATGTTTTGAGAGTGCATCACCACTTGCACTTCCTTATGACAATAGTTGTTTGTACAGTAATCTCTCTTGAAAGGTGATTGTGTAGGACGTGAAATTTGCATCTGTACAAGTTTCATTTTCAAACCAAAAAAACCCGACTAGAAACAACCACAAACAACTCTGTGATGCAAAATGATTGTCAAAATTAATGGTCTACAGTGATTTATCAACCTTCTTGAAAACTGTCAAAATCAAAGAATGATACCCCATGCATGCATATGGGGCTACTGCATAGGTGATAAAGAGAAATGGTGGTGCGTGCTTAAGATGTCTGTCTTTGAAAAGTTTGTAAACACTTAACGGTATTCTTTCTAGCCAAACTGAAAGTTTAGGTTCCCATACTTTTTTTTAAAGAGAATAGCTTGGAGTGTGTATATGCTAAGTTGAATATGGAGTGTGTTACATACTAAATTATATTTGAGTTGTAACTAACACTAAACATCATTTGTTACATGCCAAATTATATTACATTTGTAATGAACACTCAGCATCTCCAGTGTTATTTCTGTGGCACAAAACTATCTTGGTACACTAATGAGAGGATAATAAATGATAATTTTTTAACCTTCTTGTTTTAAAGACAATATCATATAGAAGTCTTAAATTTTCACTCATACATCTCCCAGGTATAAAACCTGTTTGATTTTCATGTACAATTGTATCTAATGTTGATTTAATCCTGTTTGCTGTACATGTGCTTATTATTTTGTAAAGGGAATTTAGTAATGAAATAGGTCACCAGTTTTTTACGAATTTTTTGTCTCTATTTGGTTTAGGTAAACAAGTAATAATTCCCCTGTTCATTGTAATAGTTAATTCATTATTTGTAAAGGTTTCTTTTATAAATCTGTAAACCCATGGGCCTAAATTTCTCCAAAAGAACTTAAGGAATTCAATGGGGTAGCCATCAATTCCTGGGCTTTGATCATTCTTCATAAATGATAACTGTACGGCGGACTTTTGAACTGTAGGTGAGGTGAGGTTAAATTGGGTTTAACGTCGTGCTTGAGAATATTTAGCTCATATGACGGCGTGCATGCGTGTGCATGTGTATGTGTGGCTGCTTGTACTAGCCCAGACTGAAGCTGGTTTTATAGTGCTAGCCCACTGAGATACCATGCCGCAGTGAAGCATGAATACCCCACTCAGACACATTATACTGACTCCGAGCCGACCAGTCCTTGTTGTACCCATTAATGCCGAACGCCAGGCAGGGACCAACAAGTACCATGTTTTAACGTCTTTTGGTATGACGCGGTCGGGGATCGAACCCGCGACCTTCCGCTCTCGGGCGGACGCTCTAACCACTACACATCGGAGGCGGTTTTTTTAACTGTAGATGACAAAGAAGCAAATAAGAAAGTAGGTAATCAAATCAATAAAGGTATGACACAAAGACTCAAAACTTGGATTGTAAAACACAGCACACAACAAATTTACACACTTACTACAAACTATGTTAGTATGAACCTTCACCTGTAATCTAAGCACTCCCTGGTTTCCAAATTGACTTGAATCATTATTTTATTAACAGGCTCCCATCGCATACTATGAGTAATGCTGTGTGGCGCTGGGCTGGAAATACTTCCATTTATAATGCCGAGTACTACCAGTAGGCCAGTACATGCTGACCCTTTCCGTGAACACCTGGTGTCATCACAGATTTTCGGTTTCAAAGCTTTTTGCCCATTTCACCAAATCTATTTCTGAGGATAGTCAAAATGGGCACTAGTGTTATATTACAAACAGCAACTGAACTACTAGGTAGCAGTATGTATCCCCAAGAGAACATAGAGATTATTCTGGGTTATATCTTCTTTTTATTCTTGAGTACTCAAGAATAAAACCTTAGCGCTAAGATCACTTTGTTGTGGAATGGGGTCCTGTAATCTAAGCACTCCTTGTTTCCTAATTGACTTTGACACGTGAAGATCCGGGTTAAAACTGATCTTCTGTAACCCATGCTTGTCGTAAGAGGCGACTAACAGGATTGGGTGGTCAGGCTCGCTGACTTGGTTTACACATGACATCGTATCCTAATTCAGATGATCAGTACAATAGATGATGAGATCATCACTCCAGCATGCACGCTGCCAGCAGTATCTGCATCACCAGAAGCATCATCATCTGACTCTATCTCTTCTATTTCTTAGTTATATCACAGATCTATGACAAATATATCAAGGCTGCACAAAGTCTGTCTGTCTGCCCTTCCCAACCCTGCTCTGCTCTGCTCTGCCCTGCCCTGTGTTTCTGTCTGTCTGTCTGTGTGTGCATGTATGTCTTCTTGTATTTTCTTGTCGATAGAGCATCTGTCCAAAGAGCAAAAGGTCAGTGCTTCCATCCCCATAGCTGTCATGCTTATTATCAGTTAAAAGATGGTAATTTTTTCCCTGCCTGGCATTTAGCATTGGGGGACTAAAACAAGGACTGGTCTATCTGATGTCAGTATACTGTGTCTGAATGTGGTATCTAGATGGGCCGGCACCAAAAACACCATTAGCCTGGGCTGGTACAAGCCCCCAGACACAAAGGTTCACTGCAATAATCTTAAATGCAATGTTAATCCTCATTTTACTTCTCCTTATGATGAAAAAAGTAGAAGTTTATCTCCAGTCTAAATACAGTAAGCACTTGTAAATACAGTAAAAAACATTTATAACAAACAAGGTTATAACAAACTGATGGTTATAACAAACTAAACTTCTTGGTCCCTTTGAATTTGTTCTAACAGTAGTTTACTGTAGCTGACACCGAAGACTATTGGAACAAATATGGTATTCAAAAGCCCTTAATCAGTTTATCCTAATATTGCTTATAAGGGACACAGTATATTGTGGCACATCTAACCTCACCATTGATTATAGGAAAAAAGTCCTTGGTAAAAAAGTCCTTTTGTAGTAACAACTGATTTAGTTATTGACATCAAAGATAACAAAAAAGAAATAAAGAAATCACATATAAAGACAGATTAAATCTTCAAATTGATATTTGATCCTTTAAATGACATCTAAAAAGACATGATGTGTTTATGTCATGTTCAATGTAATGGTAAATGGATTTGCACCCCGATACTAATGTGAACATGCGACTTCATAAATATGAGTAGGCCTAGACTATCTCATGTCATCATGTAATGCATTGTGTAACTTATAATGTTAAATGTAATCATTTCGGATGATTTTTTTATCAACATTTCAATACGTCATTATGTCATAAACCTTTACATTTGTCGAATGTGTGACAATGAAAAAATAAGAAATAAAAAAGCATTGTTTTTCTATACATTTCTTGTTAAAAAATGAAAATGGGACTTTTCCAGAGGACTTTTACCTAAGCAAATTTAGGACTTTTTTACCAGTACCTTTTTACCAAGGACATTTTAACCTTTTACCGAACACCTCACCATCACCCTTACCCCTAAGCAAATGTTCCTTACGTACAAACAGTAACAAAACATGAACAAAGCAATCGTTTTTAACACTGACAAATAGGCAATAGGCCTTTTAAAACATCAACTGAAAAATATTCCTTATATATATAAAATGGACATATGGAAAAACCGTAGTATTGCCTTAAATAGTTAACTTTTTGGAAAAATCAAGTCTTATAAACATGAACACAGACTCTATTATTGCAATCATGATTTAACTTTGATTCATTTCTTAAACTTTGAATGAGTAAATCCATAAAAAAATGAGCAGTGTGTTATGCCTCAGTTGACAATCAACTGATCTTGTATCACAAGGCTTGAAATCCTGAAAGGGCAGAAAACGCCTCACCACCTGAAACACAGATAGTTTAGTTGGTGAATAGTGCTTCATGCCTTTCTACAATATCACAGCTATATCATAGTGCAGGTAAATATAAATCAAGTTATGACCAGACAAGGAACAAGAATAAATATGTTTGCTTACATTTAATAAAAATGTCCATTACAGGAACTAGATTCTGGCAAACCCCAAGACATTTTATTCAAATCATTAACACTTCACTGTTTATCTCCAGGAGTTACCACTAGAATGGAATTGGATCGCAATGCTTTTATAAACCATTCTGGTGACATGAGATATCTAGTGCTGGTTTTTACTCACAACACGTAAATCGATAACAAGGGCCCAGTAATCAATCAATCATCAATTTTAACTGTAAATCCCACAATATAACTCGTGGGCTATAATGGGGACACAATCATAACCTTGTGCAAAACGAAACAAGCACTGATTAATAGTGGTGAATAATTTATTATATATATACTGATTCCTATCAGCCATAAGAAGAGACATGCCCTTGGGTCACTTTATGTCAACAGTATGATTTACACAAAGCATTGTAAAATAATCCCACAAGTACTCACTGAGTTGGTCATCGGACACACTGAACCTGCTGTCCGAGGTGATGACCGTTGCCTCTGCAGCCCAAGACGGTGCCATCCAAGTCTGCCACTGGTGGGCAAAGAGTGACATCATTAGTGAGTAAAGAATCTAACTATCTGGCTGGTTGCCGAGTTCTAAATGTTGTAAACGTCTTCTGGCTAGTCCTACCTGATATCATGACATCATGTTTCCCACCATAACACTGTTCATGCTTCGAGCTACCACAAAGTATGAATGCAGTTACAACATGAATAAAACTGTTGGCAAGCATTGGCTGCTGAAGATATTCAATAGTGACACATTATAATAACACCTGATACTATGATGCTATTTCACCAGAAATGGGCTTCGCACATTGTACCCATGTGGGGAATTGAACCCAGGTCTTCTGCGTGACAAGCGAACGCTTTAACCACTTGGCTACCCAACCGCCCCATGTAGGCCTTTTGTGAAACTGACAAACATATGCATGGTGCTGACAAACCTGGAAAACATAATGTTTGGTATGGATTTTCAATTGCGAAAATCAAATCTGTATCCCCCACTGTACAAACAGGTTCACCTGTAATTAAGGGTGGTTCCATTCAATTGTACAGGAAACATCCAGGTTAGCCCAATATTTGTAGTCATATCAATAACATGTATATTCCAAGTGTCAACTGCCAAGGAGGTTGAGTCTGGGCCCAGCTAGGTTTTACTGTTGGAGAGCATTCCCACTATCAGATCATATGAGAGTGGTTCTCTATGTGCTGGGCAATAAAACATCTATTCTATACTTAGTATATGCGTAACAGCCACAAATTTTCCAAGTCCGATGATGATTTTTGAGCCTAGGACTTTCTGATTGGACACCTTGTCCACATTGATACTAAAGAGGTTAACCCTCTCAGGCAGTAGGGCTGGGACGGGTACTCGGTTACTCGAATCCGGGTCGGGTACAGATGGAATCGAGTCCTATTTATTGGAATCGAGTACCCGGAAAGGGAGAGAACTCTGTAATGACAAGGGCAGATAATAACTTGTCTCTTTCATAATTGACGCAACACTCATTTACATCATTGGTATTGTCCGATTAATGAAGGTTATTATTAACGACTGTAATATATCTGCGCATGAGCAGTGAGTAGTGAAAGTTACAGTAACAGCGGGAACGGAAAGTTCTGTGTTTTAACGATGAATGTAAGTAATGGTGTTACTCTCTATATTGGTTAAGCAGATGTAAATTAAATAGTCTAAGATCTGTTTTAATGTCTTATTGCCATCCTTTCGAGTTTTCTATAATAATCTCTGTCAACTCGCGATTGAATATTCAGACAGTTGACAGAAGCGCTGTATTCCTTACATTTCCGGGTACTCGATTCCGATTCGGGTAAGTACATGCGGGTACTCGATTCCATTATTTCCGACCCGTCCCAGCCCTATCGGGTAGCTCATTGTGGGATGACTTCAGGCCCGGTAGACTAACGCTTAGTCTCTGAATGCATGTAAGTTTGATAGAAACAAATAATTCCATTTACCCGTATATTGAAAATGAGCCCCAATGACAGTGAGATTCAGAGCCTGAGGAAATCTAGACTTGCTTCATGTAGACCTATGTAGGGTTAACATTGCAAAAAGGGCTGGGCAGTAGGGACAGCAACGTGGTTCAGGGACAGTGAAACAGACTACAGCTTCTACTACATATGTACGTCACATATCTGTACTATATACAAGTATAGTAAACACTACCTACTTTACTGTTTCTGCTGGGGAGCAAGCATGGAACTGGGAGGTTGATTCTAACTATTGACTTGTTGCTCAAGGTAATGATGATCTCAAGGCCATACTTGCACTGAAAGAAGACAAAACACACACTAAACTGTGGAGGAATGTCACACTTCAAACCCCTGACAATCTGAACAGTTCGACAAGACTATCCTTGCAACAATGTAGAACAATCAAATTTCATATAATCTTGATTACCTGTATGTGGCTAGAGTCACCTGGCCACCCCTGACCTCCCATACAGGTTCATGTTTATATCTAGGTGATGTTGTGTACAGGCATATTGTATGCGTGTCAACGAGCCATGTTAATACGTGTGAGTACTGGCATATTGTATGTGCTGACGAGCCATGATAATACGTGTGAGTACTGGCATATTGTATGTGCTGACGAGCCATGATAATACGTGTGAGTATTGGCATATTGTATGTGCTGACGAGCCATGATAATACGTGAGTACTGGCATATTTGTGTGTGCTGACGAGCCATGATAATACGTGTGAGTACTGGCATATTGTATGTGCTGACGAGCCATGATAATACGTGTGAGTACTGGCATATTGTATGTGCTGACGAGCCATGATAATACGCGTGTGAGTACTGGCATATTGTATGTGCTGACGAGCCATGATAATACGTGTGAGTACTGGCATATTGTGTGTGTGCTGACGAGCCATGATAATACGTGTGAGTATTGGCATATTGTATGTGCTGACGAGCCATGATAATACGTGTGAGTACTGGCATATTGTATGTGCTGACGAGCCATGATAATACGTGCACTGGCATATTGTATGTGCTGACGAGCCATGATAATACGTGTGAGTACTGGCATATTGTATGTGCTGACGAGAGCCATGATAATACGTGTGAGTACTGGCATATTGTATGTGCTGACAAGCCATGATAATACGTGTGTGAGTACTGGCATATTGTATGTGCTGACGAGCCATGATAATATTGATGTGTGAGATAATTGGCATATTGTATGTGTGCTGACGAGCCATGATAATACGATGTGAGTATTGGCATATTGTATGTGCTGACGAGCCATGATAATACGATGTGAGTATTGGCATATTGTATGTGCTGACGAGCCATGATAATACGTGTGAGTATTGGCATATTGTATGTGCTGACGAGCCATGATAATACGTGTGAGTACTGGCATATTGTATGTGCTGACGAGCCATGATAATACGTGTGAGTATTGGCATATTGTATGTGCTGACGAGCCATGATAATACGTGTGAGTATTGGCATATTGTATGTGCTGACGAGCCATGATAATACGTGTGAGTACTGGCATATTGTATGCTGACGAGCGAGCCATGATAATACGTGTGAGTACTTGGCATATTGTATGTGCTGACGAGCCATGATAATACGTGTGAGTATTGGCATATTGTATGTGCTGACGAGCCATGATAATACGTGTGAGTATTGGCATATTGTATGTGCTGACGAGCCATGATAATACGTGTGAGTATTGGCATATTGTATGTGCTGACGAGCCATGATAATACGATGTGAGTATTGGCATATTGTATGTGCTGACGAGCCATGATAATACGTGTGAGTACTGGCATATTGTATGTGCTGACGAGCCATGATAATACGTGTGAGTACTGGCATATTGTATGTGCTGACGAGCCATGATAATACGTGTGAGTACTGGCATATTGTATGTGCTGACGAGCCATGATAATACGTGTGAGTATTGGCATATTGTATGTGCTGACGAGAGCCATGATAATACGTGTGAGTACTGGCATATTGTATGTGCTGACGAGCCATGATAATACGTGTGAGTACTGGCATATTGTGTGTGCTGACGAGCCATGATAATACGTGTGAGTACTGGCATATTGTATGTGCTGACGAGCCATGATAATACGTGTGAGTATTGGCATATTGTATGTGCTGACGAGCCATGATAATACGTGTGAGTACTGGCATATTGTATGTGCTGACGAGCCATGATAATACGTGTGAGTACTGGCATATTGTATGTGCTGACGAGCCATGATAATACGTGTGAGTACTGGCATATTGTATGTGCTGACGAGCCATGATAATACGTGTGTGAGTACTGGCATATTGTATGTGCCAACGAGCCATGATAATACGTGTGAGTACTGGCATATTGTATGTGCTGACGAGCCATGATAATACGTGTGAGTAATGGCATATTGTATGTGCTGACGAGCCATGATAATACGTGTGAGTACTGGCATATTGTATGTGCTGACGAGCCATGATAATACGTGTGAGTATTGGCATATTGTATGTGCTGACGAGCCATGATAATACGTGTGAGTATTGGCATATTGTATGTGCTGACGAGCCATGATAATACGTGTGAGTATTGGCATATTGTATGTGCTGACGAGCCATGATAATACGTGTGAATGAGCCATGATAATACGATGAGAGATAATGATGCATATTGGCATATTGTGCTGACGAGCCATGATAATAATGTGTGGAGTACTGGCATATTGGCTGATATTGTGTGATGTATTGTATGTGTGCTGACGAGCCATGATAATACGTGAGTATTGGCATATTGTATGTGCTGACGAGCCATGATAATACGTGTGAGTATTGGCATATTGTATGTGCTGACGAGCCATGATAATACGTGTGAGTATTGGCATATTGTATGTGCTGACGAGCCATGATAATACGTGTGAGTATTGGCATATTGTATGTGCTGACGAGCCATGATAATACGTGTGAGTACTGGCATATTGTATGTGCTGACGAGCCATGATAATACGTGTGAGTACTGGCATATTGTATGTGCTGACGAGCCATGATAATACGTGTGAGTATTGGCATATTGTATGTGCTGACGAGCCATGATAATACGTGTGAGTATTGGCATATTGTATGTGCTGACGAGCCATGATAATACGTGTGAGTATTGGCATATTGTATGTGCTGACGAGCCATGATAATACGTGTGAGTATTGGCATATTGTATGCTGGTACTGGCATATTGTATGTGCTGACGAGCCATGATAATGAGCCATGATAATACGTATGAGTATTGGCATATTGTATGTGCTGACGAGCCATGATAATACGTGTGACAATTGGCATATTGTGTGCTGACGAGCCATGATAATACGTGTGAGTATTGGCATATTGTATGTGCTGACGAGCCATGATAATACGTATGAGTATTGGCATATTGTGTGTGCTGACGAGCCATGATAATACGTGTGACAATTGGTATATTGTGTGTGCTGGCGAGACATGATAATACGTGTGAGTACTGGCATATTGTATGTGCTGACGAGCCATGATAATACATGTGAGTATTGGCATATTGTGAATGCTGACGAGATAATATGTGATCCTGTTTGTATATCACACGAACGACAGTGTCATAAGTTGTATATATTGCAATGATGATTATGATATGTTGATTGAGTTTGTATGATGTAGAGTTTATGTTGATGGCAATGATGATGATGATGGAGTTTAGTGGAAATAAACAGGAGTGCACCGCACATGACATACCATATAACTGTTGTGTTGTTTGTAGTACTGAGGGAGTGTAGGAGAAATAAGATCAAGTACATACATTTGACCATCCAGGTGAGTACGCCTGACCACCTATATATGTACAAATGACCATCAAGTTGATATACCTGACAATTCATGAAAGTGCACCTGACCAACCAGGTCAAGTACATGTGACCACCCATATCACTACATCTGACAACCAGCTACACAAGACTGGCCTCTCCACACCTACCTCTATGTGCTGCCCCTTGATGGAAGGAGGAAGATCTTGCCCATCTTTAGATATGAGTGGTATCAAGATATTATCCAGGACTCTGAAAGAGTAAACAGACTTTGAAGGTTTTGCTAAGACCCATGTCATGGAGGTCTTATGTCAGTGAAATATTTTTTCCAGGAAGGCACACAATGACTTTGATGTGATTAGCCATACTTCTACAGTGTAATGATAAGAGATCCCAGAAATATTATTTGAATCCTGTACACTATCGGGAATCAAACCTGGAGCTTTCAGAGCAATGATTATCTAATTGACCTCATAATATAGTATAACTTATAGTGGTTTCAGCATTTACTCCAGGGTTAGGGGCCATTCATAATTTATGGTGTGTGTGTCTCTCTCTCTCTCTCTCTCTCTCTCTCTCTCTCTCTCTCTCTCTCTCTCTCTCTCTCTCTCTCTCTCTCTCTCTCTCTCTCTCTCTCTCTCTCTCTCTCTCTCTCTGAGTGTGTGTGAGAGAGAGAGAGAGATAATTTAAGGGGGGTTACCCACTTTGTTCTGGGCAGGTAGGGGGGTCAGCAATTTTGTACACATGTACTAGGGGGGTCAGCAATTTTGTACATTAAAATATTAAAAAATTATGCTTAAAAATTATGGGAAGGGGGTCATTGATTTTGTACATGATGTGCAAAGGGGGGGGGGGGTCACTTACTTTGTACATAAAATTTAGGGGGGTCATTCACATTGTACATGCCTCTGCATAAAAATCATCTCTCTCTCTCTCGCGCATGCGCACACACACTCACACACGCACACACACACACCGTTGCCATAAATTATGAACGGTCCCTTAGTAGTGTAGCCACTTTAACCACTAGGCTACCCCACCGCCCGATGCAGGTGTGAAACCGAACTATTGTGAAACTGACAAACATATGTATTGTGCTGACAAACCTGGAAAAAATAATGTTTGGTGTGGATTTTCATTTGCTAAGATCAAACTATTTGAATCAAGTTGGAGAAGGAAAAATAGACTGAAGTTAAGAAATTTTAGAATGAAGTTTTAAGAAGCTGTCATTTGACTGGCTCTAGAGACCATGAGGTTATCATTTGGAAAGTGAGTTTAGCGGGCTCATTTTCAGTCACAATCAGGAGGGGTTAAGATCATTATGCAGGGGAGAATACCATATCAGATTCAAACATATGATTGTAATGAGATTGTGAGCTATTTTGATCTGCAGGCAGACAGTCTACCTCACTTGCCACTACATACAGTAATACACACATTCAATATCAGAAACTGTCTTCATCCAAACATCACCTCGTGAGAACTGATGCATCCATTCCAGAAGAACTTCCTCCTGTTTCCCTGACAACCATAGGCCCACCTTCTGGTTGAATGTACGTCTTCTGCTGCATACGTCTGATGCTGGGAGACAGTTTCTCCAGTGGAACATCTTTCTTACAGATGAAGAGGAGATCCCTCAGCAGCTGTGGATGCATATAACCATCACTAGCAGAATATACCCATAATCACCATCACTAGCAGAATATACCCATAATCACCATCACCAGCAGAATATATAATAATAAATAATCAAATCTGGACCAGACAAACCAGTGATCAACAGCATGAGCTTCAATTTACCCAATTGGGATACAATGACATGTGTCAACCAAGTCAGCGAGCCTGACCACCCGAACCCACAAGTCGCCTCTTACGACAAGCATGGGTTGCTGAAGGCCAATTCTAACCTGGATCTTCACGGGTTTGTACCCATGTGGGGAATCGGTCCTGTATATTAACGCAATAAGAGGGCTTAATAGATTGTACCCATGTGGTTGGTTTCTTGTTTAAAGTCACACTCAGCAATATTCCAGCTATATGGCGGCGGTCTATAAATAATCAAGTCTGGACCAAACAATCCAGTGATCCAGCGAGCCTGACCACCTGATCCCGTTAGTTGCCTCTTATGACAAGCATGGGTTACTGAAGGTATATTATTTATACTTTCATTGGTCAGTCTGCCATAGCTATGAAGTGAAAGGAAAGAAGCAAGTAATCTGTCATTAATAAGACTGCAAACTGACACTGAGTTAACCGACATTAATTATGGGTGTTTACAGAATTAATTGATTAACAAACCATTGTGAACAGCACACTCCGGCACAGTGATGACTTAACATCACTGCCACAGGCTAATTTTGCATATCACGTGACCGGACTTTTCTCTTGTTTGTAATCAAACGCGCATATTCATAATAAGAAGAGACTGGACTCACGAAAGCTTTTCGGCGCTCTCTTCATAATGTTTTACTTTGTTACATATATATTCTTCCACAACTGCGACAGTTAGGTCTATGACAGAACATATTTAGATATCAAACTGGCTGCATCGTTTGCTCTCCGTCGGCTTCGATGACAGCACGTGGAGCCGTAAACCTATGTAAACAAAGGATCACTACGCAAATTGAAATAGTGTTACACGTTTTTGGATATTTTCTCAGTGAAACTAAACCATTCTATTAAAGATGTTTAGTTAGATGTGTAGACAGGTCAAAAATAAAAGAGTAAAAGAAATCTGTACATTGAATTGAATGGACATTGCAAGATGTGACGAATCGTCACATTTTTCTGGCCTGTGGCAGAGGTACTATGCTGGCTTGCCGCATGGAACTCTGGGTAGGAGAATGTGTGAACAGAAGTAACAGAGATGTTTATTTAACGGAGTGTTATTTTAGTCATCTACGTCTGGATTACAAAGCATCGTTCTCATAGCAAGTTGACTGTCAGTACTGTTATGTTAGTCTGTAATCCCTAACTGAGATAGACCGGATTATATAGGATGCTTTAATGATAAATGAACAACAATTTTGCCTGGACTCAGAGAGTAGATTACCCATGAAGGTCCGGGTTAGAATATTGATCTTCAGTAACCCACGCTTGTCGTAAGAAGTGAATAACGAGAACGGGTGGTCAGGCTCGCTGACTTGGTTGACACATGTCATCGGTTCCCAATTGCAAGGATCAATGCTCATGCTGTTGATCACTGGATTGTCTGGTCCAGACTCGATTATTTACAGACCACCGCCATATAGCTGGAATATTGCTGAGTTCGGCGTAAAACTAAACTCACTCAGAGAGTAGTCCACATTATAGAGAAAACCTGATTACGCAGAGTCTTGATTTGACAGATTCTACTGTACCTTGATCTTGAATGAGCTGATCGTTGTGGACGTTTCATTGGTGATGATCATCCGTAGCTTTCAACTTGTCACCTGACACTGGGTTTGCGTCCACTAATCTGCAACCAGAGGGCGATTAGGTTAAACTGGCGATCAGGTGCTCGACTTTGTTGTTGACATGTCAAAAGGATGTGGGTAAGGTTAGCTGTGTGTCAGCTGAAAGGTGGTTTAAACATAATTATATTCAAGAAAATGAATTGGGATTGGTGAACAAGCATTACTGCTTATGTTAACACCGCTCCCATGCAACATAAAATACAAAATGAAATGGAGGATGTCATCGATATTGACTACTGCATAAATATAATACTTATATATATATAAAAATATATACAGATTACATGAAATACAGCTATTCTTTAAGTAGTCATAAGTTAGAGAGTTAACAAGCCTAACAAGCCACTGCAGAAATCTAAATCAATCATGAGACGGTTGTTGAGTTAATTTAATTATTTTCCTGAGAAAATTTGAAGCGTTGTGTCTTGATGACATAGTCATGGATGGCTTCAACTATTTTCTGGTTTACACAAGGAGTAAATTCCTTGTTTCCGTTCAAAATGGTATCCAGGTTATAATCGGTAGTGTAAAAATACATATTAAGTCTTATCTGAGTATAGATACCGCAAGTGAGAAAATCGTGTAGGGCGTTTTCACTCTGATATCCACAAGAGCAACATGGACTGTCTATTAAATGTCTGTTATACTTATTGGCATTTAGGTCGCTACATTCGAGCATGAGGCAGCAGTGAACGATTTGACAAAAACGAGGGCCATAATTAGGTCAGTATAAATCTTGAAAGGTTGAAAGGTCAGCTTAATATGTGATAAAACCCAAAGTGTGTCGGTCATAAACACACCTTTTGTTAAAAACCAAAGACATTGGTTTGTTCTCACAAAACAAAATATCAGTTTTGTTTGAGTGGCATTCTAGAAGTTGGTGGTATAGAGATGACAAAACTTTATGGATGATCAACTTCTTTATTTTCACAATAGCGACGTTTCGGTATAGATTCTTTATTTTCACAATAGTGACGTTTCGGTATAGATTCTTTATTTTCACAATAGTGACGTTTCGGTATAGATTCTTTATTTTCACAATAGCGACGTTTCGGTATAGATTCTTTATTTTCACAATAGATTCTTACGTTTCACAATAGGACGTTTGTATAGATTCTTTATTTTCACATACCATTTTTTATTTTCAAGCAACGTTTCGGACGTTATGGGGGAATGATGGGGTACACCAGTTTATACACAAGAATCTTGTGACAAGATACATGTACATACAATAATGAGATAACAATAACAAAGGTAACAAATAACAGAACATCAGTTCATTACAGTGATCCTTTAACAAGTGTAGAAGTGAGCACAGCTCACATACCCCCGCTTCCCACTTTGGGACATGGAAATGACGACTGATATTGATATATATAATGTGACAAGGATCAGCAGCTCATAAGACTTTCTCCTTGACTCTACTAAACTTTATATACATGTTAGATAATTGTTTTGCCATGTACTGATTACAGTAATAATTTATGGAAACATTACTTTTTTGTGTTTTCCGTGGAAACCTGACATACAATTGAACTTGTTGCACACAATGAAGTGGACGTAGATGAAGATTGTTATTTTTTAGCACATGGCATATCTGTGGGTCATGATTAACTTGTGTATTAAGTTTGGTGAACCTAGTATGTATAGTTTCGATGATATGCTGTGGCCCGGTAACCATCAAACACATTTTGCATCCAAGTCATGTTTCCATGGAAACAGCAACAAAACAAATTCTGAAAAACTTTAAAATAGCAAAAGGCATATCAATGGGTTATGATTAACATGTGTGTGAAGTTTGGTGAACCTAGCATGTACCTAAACTTTAAGAGATATGCTCCGGACAAAAACCACCAAACACATTTGGCACTAAGTCGTGTTTCCATGGAAACAGCAAAAAAACAAAATTCTGAAAAAACTTTAAAATAGCAAAAGACACATCAATGGGTAATGATTAACGTGTGTGTGAAGTTTGGTGAACCTAGCATGTAAACTTTAAGAGATATGCTCCAGACAAAACCACCAAACACATTTGGCACTAAGTCGTGTTTCCATGGAAACAGCAAAAAACAAAATTCTGAAAAAACTTTAAAATAGCAAAAGGCACATCAATGGGTAATGATTAACATGTGTGTGAAGTTTGGTGAACCTAGCATGTAAATTTTAAGAGATATGCTCCGGACAAAACCATCAAACACATTTGGCACCAAGTCGTGTTTCCATGGAAACAGCAATAAAAGAAAATTCTGAAGAAAAAATAAAATAGCAAAAGGCACATCAATGGGTTATGATTAACATGTGTGTGAAGTTTGGTGAACCTAGCATGTAAACTTTAAGAGATATGCTCCGGACAAAGTTTCGGGACGGACGGACGGACAGAATGAACGCTATATACCCCGTTACTTCGTAGCAGGGGTATAATTAGTCTAAGAATTTCACCCACAGTGCAATTCAAAACTTGCGAAGAAACTAGGAAGAGAATAAAGGAACATTTGTGTTTTCATGTGTTCCCTTTTTTGTTTTCCTCAGTATATCTTATCCTTACTTACTGCATACCAGAGGTGAAAATAATTTTGAGCTTTCAAAGACTGAGGTTGTATCTGTACCCGATGAGTACTTCAGTTGTCATGACTTGTCATCTTTATGATGTTTACCATTAACATTGATTAAGATGAAAACCCATGAGCACAGGGATAATAATGATGGCCTCTCAGGGAATTAACAAACCCCAAAACAGGAATCAGACATCCGTCAGGCATGTAGGACTGCACACAGAACTGCACCACTTTAGATGAGCAGGTCTACCACTACAGAAGTATCCTCCCTTCGGCCAATAAGCCGTGAACATCCGGGTTAGAATTGGTCTTCAGAAACCCATGCTTGTTGTAACAGGCGACTAAGGGGAACGGGTGGTCAGGCTCTCTGACTTGGTTGACACATGTCATCGTATCCACTTCGCATAGATCGATGCTCATGCTGTTGATCAATGGATTGTCTGGTCCAGACTCTGTTATTTACATACTGCCACCATATAGCTGGAATAATGCTGAGTGCGGTGTTAACCAACCAACCAACTTTCGGCCAAGCTCTTACTGTTCCTACAGCCCTAGAAGAAGCAAATCCAGATATTCCAATCCAAGTTGTTTGTAGCAATCCAAATAATGTAATTTTAGATTAAGTGTTACTTTACCCAATTCCCCTTTATTCCACAACAACAAATACCAGTGTTGATCTAAACTTGCTGACTCACCTCACAAGAAAGTGGATGGACTTGCGAAATGGGAATTTACTGACGACATGGTCCATTTCTATTGTCTGGTTTGCTTCTTGTCCCTTCAGTTTCATCACGACAATGCCCTGTGATGCCTGCAAGTGTCAAGGTCAAAGAGTACTTTGATTGTATTACTGCATGTCAGATTCAAAGCACAAAAGTGATGTAGATCTTAGATGTTCACCCCTTTAAATAACAACATGAAAATGGGCATGGTGCTGCCAAACCTGGACCCATTAACAGGGCAAATTTGGGATTTGAACTTATGTTTTGGGCATGCAACTAAGGGAAGCAACTCTGCACAGTGAATTGTGGTGCCCTGCACAACTATGCATCAGTTATACTGTAACTATGGAGACAGCAATTGAACAATTGGCTGATGTACCAATTCCTGAAGAAGATTTGTTCAAATACAAATTTAAGTCAACATGAAGAATGAAAAATGAGCATGTCAAATATAAAACCAAACTTAAATGCAGCCACGCCCCATCTTAACACCACTTACAATAAGGTCTGAATTAACACCACTTACAGTAAGGTCTGAATTAACACCACTTACAGTAAGGTCTGAATTAACACCACTTACAGTAAGGTCTGAATTAACACCACTTACAGTAAGGTCTGAATTAACACCACTTACAGTAAGGTCTGAATTAACACCACTTACAGTAAGATCTGAATCAGTGACAGAGGCTTGAAGCCAGTAGTCAACCATGCACTCCCATGTCGCATCACCAACACTCTGAGCATCAAAGGTCTCTGGAATAAGAATCATAGATCATATACTGAAGGAAGAAAATTATCAAACACACCATACCATAGTGAGTAAAATCTCCAGTCATCTCTGCAGTATTCAAGCCATATATGACCAAAAAGTAATACATTCATATGAGTGAGATTTAAGCCACTTTTTTTTGCAATATTCCAGCAATATCATGGTGTGGGACATGATAAATGGGCTTCACATATTGTACCCATATGGGGAATTGAACCTGGGTCTTCTGAGTGATGAACGAACGCTTTAACCACAAGGCTTCGCAACTGCCCCACATTCATATGACTGACTGACTGAGTTTAGTTTTACGCCGCTTTTAGCAATATTCCAGCAATATCACGGCGGGGGACACCAGAAATGGGCTTAACACATTGTGCCCATGTGGGGAATCGAACCCGGGTCTTCGGCGTGACGAGCCAACGCTTTAACCACTAGGCTACCCCACTGCCCCCACACATTCATATGAGAAACTGCTGAATACATTCTACATCTATTGTGAACATAATGAGATATACTGATAAATCTCATGGGCAAGTAACCATGATTCTTTTTAAAATCTAAGAAAAATGTAAATCCACACCCTCGACTTCCAATGTCCACGTTAAGGGTCGAGGCCGGCTTGACCTGCAGTGGCGACAGCCATTATGTTTGCCCTCTCAACCACAGGCAGAATTAGCAATATATTTTCATATGTAAATTTTAAAGTGCAGTAATTTTACTTTCTACATACATATTATTCTGTTTATTTATACAACAAATACTTATCAGTATATCTCATTACATTTACAATAGATGTAGAATTTATTCAAAGACAGGTTACAGTAATATTTCGTGATGAATACAAAACTTTACTTTGCGCTGTTGAGTGCATGTTTGTTCGTGAATATTCGTCAAATTTATTGGTTAGTTTACTTCATTGAAGTATGTTATACTAAACCAACAAAATTCTGATTAATCGAAAATATGTTTTTTTTACAATCAATAATTATTTTCAATCCTCCTTTCGATTATTTTCAATCATCGGAACACAACAGGTAACATGAGCACCTTAAACCATGGTTGGTCGGTGGCGGGAAGTTTTTGTGGCCTAACATTCATGAGAGGCCCAGATAAGCTGCGTATTTGGGTAAAATACGCACAGAAAATTTCCAATTACGCATTAAAAAATTTTGTTGTGTACCAATTACGCATTTAAAATGTTAGATACGCACAAAGTTTGAAACATATGCGTATGGAATATATCTATAAAAATCGCTTGCGTAATGAAAAAGACATCGATTGGTATCAAGTTGTATTGTTAGTATAGGACTAGTGTTGTACCATCAGTACAGGATGAGTGATTTTTTATAAAATCATTTCCATTATATTTAAGTTGGTTTTGCTTCGGTATGACATAAGGCAGTACATACCTGCTTAGTAAACTTACTCAATGACACATACCTAGGTGAGTAAAATCACTGAAATATCCACATATTTGAAAGCAGTGGGTAACAGAAAATGAAATACCCACTAAACATTCATAATACCCACTCCAAACAAAATACAATGGGTACAGTACCCACATGAGCTAAATCTTATCTGGAGCTCTGATTCATCTATATTTTATCCATCACTTGTGATTAGAAGGAAACTGAGTGTCAGGTAAATTATTTTTCCAAATACATGTATATCACATCTTACAAAATATAACTTACCTGGTAAAACCTTTGGAAGTTTCATCATAAAAGGGAAACTGTAGCTGCCAATTGCGAATGGCTCTGAAAGAAAAAATCAAGACTTCATTTTGGGGGAATGATCTGTTTAATGTTGCTCTTTACAACACTTCAATTTTTTCACCCACCAACTCTAACCGTGAAGAAAAAAAATGCTCTAAAAATGTGCGACATAATCAAATTTACCAAAGAGTTGACTAAATACTGTCAGTTTGTCATTAGCATGTTCATCATAAACATTGTTCACTGCATTTCAAACTTTACAGACCGTTAATTAGAGTCACTTTGATAATTGAGAAAAATACCTGTACCCTGAAGCTTGCAGTCAATGGTTTACCTACCTGTACTGCTGTAGAGCTCCACATTGTAGAAGTCGATGTAGTCCTTGGTTGCCTCCAGGGTGTTCTTGCCACCCTCAGACCTGTAGTCATAGTTGACTGAAACAACAGCCAAACACTGATTATACTACTCAAAACAAGTTAAGAACACTGATTTTTTCACGTTACTGTAGTAAATCTGTTACAGCCCGTTTGACTTCATTTGAGACCGATGAATTATTCACTAACACAAAATCTAATAAATGCAACAAAACCAAATTTTGCAGTCACATGAAACTCTGATGATTTGTCTCATAATTTTGGACACCTGAATAAAAAAGTTGTTTAACAAACGACACTTGCTGATAGAACAGCCAGGTGTGTGAGTTGTACGTGTGAAATTGAAATTTCACTGCACACGTTTGTTGTTCTACCAGTAAGTGGTCCCCCCTCGTAAAAAATAGCAAAAAGTGACAACAAAATAATGATCGTTTGTTAAACAACTTTTTTATTCAGTTGTCCAAAATTATGAGACAAATCATCAGAGTTGGTCTGTCGATTTCATGTGACTGTGCAAAATTTGGTTGTTGTTTTTTGCATTTATTAGATTTTGTGTTAGTGAGCAATTCATCTGTGTCAAATGAAATCAAACGGACTGTACATAACTACAGTTACAATCTGTCATGCTATTTCACGCAAAATGGTATCGTGCTCAATGCACTTTTCTTAAATATGTGTCTGAAGCAGACTTTTTCGTCTACCACCCACATAGCATTTGGATGTTGGAAATCTAAATGTGAACATGCTGGTTCTCTAAATCTGAACATGCTGGATATCTAAATCTGAACATGCTGGATATCTAAATCTGAACGTGCTGGTTCTCTAAATCTGAACATGCTGGTTTCCTTAATCTGTACATACAGGTACTTTTAACCTGCAAATGCTAGAACCCTCAATCTGTACATGATTGTAAGTCCTATAAATTCCGATAATTTAAAGCAATCCAGAGGTATACTTCTATTGAAAATTCACATAAAACTATTTATCATTGTCAGTCTAAAACCTAGAAAAATGCTTAAATTTGTTTAAATTTGAGATCTGCCCTTCAAAATTCAGACGTGGAAATTTTAATTTAGCAATAGAGACTGGGAGATATGAAAATATTACTTCTAATGAAAGAGCTTGTTTATTTTGTTAATCAAAAGGTATTAATGTTGTTGAAGATGAGTGGATAATTTTGTATATCTGTGAATGTTTTCTGATGTTCGAGATAAATATATTGTGAAATATTTTAGTCAACCTCCTACGATAAACAACTTTATCATCTAATGGAGGGTGTTATCGGTGCAATAAAGCAATCTGATAAACTTGGTATCCAAATCTGATAACTATGCAAATTACGTCAATCCACAAACTACTTTCTCAAAACTCCATACATGCCATGCGAATCCTAAAACGTTAACATTTCACTGATGACGTCGGCGAGTTTACATTTTTGCTTTGACAAGTTTGTAAACAAACATGGCTGCCCCCATTATCAAAATTGGTGATTCTGTAACAATTGATGACAGAGGTTCTGGATTCGTTACTGCAGTAATTGACTTTGGAAAACATGAAACAGAGAACTTCATTCAAATTGAAGGTACGGATTATGAGGCATGAGTGACAGGCGATCATCTAAGAAAGGTACCAACCAAGGATTTTGATCTATCAATCACAACAAAGAAGACGACAAATCGATTCCGTATCAGAAACTGATATTGATGAGGTGATTAACCCGCAATGACAATAGAAAGACTACCAAGAAAACCCTGCCTGATTTTGTTGTTCTTTTTAGACAGAAAGATCTTATTTTAGGAATGAGTTATGCTTGCACTGTATTAGCAACTAGTCACAACCATATGCTGCCATTAAGAACGACCTTCACCTTGGTGTGCCGCTAAGTATTCTTACGCGAATGCTCGATTCTCTTCATATTTAAATTAAAAAAATTAAACCCTAATGTTTTTATTGGCCAAAATTGTAAACTTAGAAAAAAAAAGTTTAGATTGTTTTTTGCCATACACTTCATTATTGCCAAAAGTAAAATAATTTTAGTATATAAAAGGAATATTACTTTGGCGATTTTTTTCTCCCTCCTGCCTTTAGGTTTTCTGTGGACAAAAATCCGTAAAACAAGAAATAAAATTGGTCTGGCCTCATGACAAATTGCAAAATGTTCCAGTGCAAGCTTGGAACATGAAGTCATGAAGTGCACACACTTCAGCACATTCAGCCACCCTAGATCGCGT